CTGACTTCATTGGGACACCTGCTGCGCAATTCCCTGACATGTCACTTAATTAGGATATAATACTCCTCAACTTACAACAGTCTGTTTACTGACCCTTCGAAGTTACAACGGCACTTTAAAAGGTGACTTAGGGACCACTTTTCATATTTATGACCGTCGCAGCATCTCCATGGTCATGTGATTAACATTCGGATGCTTGATAATGGACTCAGTAGGATTTGTGAAACTCTTGCTAAAATAAATGGGAGGAAGGTGAGCCCACCTGAATTCTACCTGTCTCCAGTGAGACAGAAAATGACATAAACTTTATGCCCATCGGGTCAGGAAGAGTCAAAAGTGATCAAAAGACTGAACAATGACAACTTCTATTGTTTCCAACCAGCGGATGTTGCCTCTGACCCTTCAAGCAACGTACGACTGATTTACAGCTGCAGCATTAATAGAGTCTCAATTAATTTCTTCAGTTTTGTTGTAAAGCCACAGCAATAGAGTGGTGACAATGATACCTCTTGGACAGAAAAGTATATCATTTACATATAGGCCTTAATAAGGACATTAGACAAGTCCATGGCCTGATTTCTCTGGCTAACGAATTACCAGTTCCATTCCTCACAATCCATTCCCCACCTCTTGGATTTGTTCGCTCCACGAGGATAATATTTCATTCACTCTTGACATGGGGCTGGACTCCGTTTTACCTGCTTCGCTGTAGGAAAGGTAACAGTGATCCAGCGTGAACGCTGACTGCAAGAGAGGAAGGAAGAAATCAGAGGGTGGGCGTTGTAAGTGGAAGGAATGAAGACAGGGGAAGGAAAGAAGGACGGAAAAGAAGAACAGGCTTCAAATATAAGATTTTATATGCAGGTATATTACAGTCACCAACACAAAACCTGGTCTAAAATACCATTCAATCTTGTTTCCTTATCATTGAAACTGAAGTTAGCCTTGGATCAGTTTAGCGGTGCATGATCTGCAGAGTGGTTAACGACTGGGATCGTGTCTTCATCTCGAAGAGTTGCTTACTGAAACTTAGAAAGGCTATTCAAATAAAAATAAATAAGCGTGCAGTTGGGCACGGCAAGGAGTCAAGGAGCTTGACCATTGAAGAAACTGCATGTTGACCAAGATATTACACATTGTAGATCTTAAGAAAAGCACAAGGCTCCCAAAGACACGTTAAAAATTGTTACTGAAATGCCATAGTAACTGTTTAATTTTTCCTTCCTGTTCTAGAATAATTTACTCCTATGTCTTCTCACTTCTTTACCCTGTTGAGAGTGTGTCTCTGGCACACAATTCGGACGCAAACTATGGCCCTTAGTCGAAAAGAAACTGCATATTCCAGATATAATCCAATGCCATTCACTGCGACCGAGCTCTCCAAGATCTTCAGATAATTATTAGCTACTCTACATTGTAGCTCAAGGTTACAAGGACATGGATGGTCTTCTGGATACAACACCTCTGCTCCACCCTTAAGCCATTCTTGGTGTCTCAGTCTGCTTTTCAGGCAACTGCACATACTGCATAAAAATATTTCGCTAGACAAATATAAAGTGTATGCAATTAGTCTCAAGTCAAGTATGTTAACCAGCCTCCACTGAAAAATATACCTGGTGAGCTAACAATAGGAAGCTGTGTGGCACAGTTATTCATTAACATCCCCAAGCCAACCTTTGATATTACAATCAGTTACAAAGGGCAAGTGTGTGAGAACCACCTCAGATGGAGAGAAGTAAACAGGACACACAACAGACCAGGCTGTCTTTTGCAATCGTGGCTATTTGTATCTGGGACAACAATACAGAGAGCCAGGATGGGGAGAGTTAAAGTGTCAGACCAGAAGCCAGGAATCCGGAGTCTCAGCTGCAGAAGTTCACTGGAAGTTGAGTCACAGCCGCTGGACTTGTCAGTTTGAAATGTTTCACTGCTTATCCAAGTAGTTTCTGGAGTCTGAGCAAGTTGGTTAGGGGAACCCCAAATACGTCCTCCAGGGTGGTTTCATTTCTCACCTAATCTGAATAGGCTTGTTAGATGAGTAGGCAGAGAGTTGTTAAAGAGTCCTAAATCCTTCCTCCTAGGTGGATACTGCTCTCGCATCAATCCTCAGGAAGATTTTATGTTGCTCTTGCATCGTAATCTTAGGAGGATTAAGATCACTGTACAGGAACACCAGGGAAGCCTCATTTAATGACCGTGTGAATGAATGAGAATCTTCATGGACATCAGTCACGCCCCCCTCAACCCAATCTGCTTCACAGTGATTGTGGAGGGGGAAAACAGGAGGCAAGAACACCATGTACAGGTAGTCCTCGACTTACAACCACAACTGAACCCAAAAGTCTCGGGATTATGCATGGGAAAAGCAACGGTCGCTTCTTCAAACTGCCACAGTTAAGAGAATCACTGGGTTGTTAAGTGAATCGCATGGTTGTTAAGCAAATGCAGCTTTCCCTGTCAGTTTCCCTGTCAGTTGCCAAGCATCCAAAATTCGATCACATGACCATGTGAATGCTGCAACGGTCGTAAGTGTGAAAAAAGGTGCTAAGTCACTTTTTTCAGTGGTGTTGTAACTTTGAACAGTCACTGAATGTTTGTAAGTCGAGGATTACCTGTTCACTGCCTTGACCTTTTCCATGAAAGAGAAGATATAAACCTAGCAAATAAAAGAAATAACACAAATACCAGGAACTACATATCACGCTACGTGATGGGATTTGTAGATCCAAGCTTCTGGAAAACCCCAGGTGGGGAAAGGCTAGAATTCAGACTTCGCAAGCTGAAATAGACGAATAGAAGATGAAAAAAGAATGTAATATATGAAGCTGAGTAGCAAAGTCCTTACCTTTCTCAACAGCGTTCCAGCAGGGGTGTGCGAAAAGCTGCTGCACTGAGGGGACAAATACGCATCTTCGAATAATACTGCAAAGAAGCAAAATATTCTGTGAAAAGTGTTTTAAAGGCCATCCGCTCCCCTCGTCCCATTTTAAGAGAAGGTTCCAGAGAAGCAAGCTTCCATCTTGTCCATATGCCACATTTACTGGAGGGTAGCACACCTCCTTAAAACAATCCCAGTGCAACATTGCAGATATCTGCTTCCAGGGATTCATAAAATCTTCGGATGCTCAAGTGTTTAGTTTCCACAGAAAGTATTGTCTGTAACAGCCCAATAATGTTGACAGTTTAAAAATATTCCACTTCTTGGAAAACCTTTCTAAATCCACTTGCTCCGCTCATATTTACAGAGGAGAGCAAATCAACTCAGAAGGAAATGGGCCTGTGGGTATATCCCCTTTTTGGTAAGAAACACGATACGCGTTTGGAAGGAAAAAAACAAGGCTGCCTATCCGACTGATCTCGCCCAAGGTAAGGATTCCCTCCCTCCTTGCTGTCCATTTACCTGGAGAAAGCTCCTCCGGAACACCTTGGAGGATGTGCGGGGGGAGCAGCCGAGCAGGGGAGGAGAAAAGCGAAGGGCTCAACCCCAAATCGGAACAGCTGTGGCTCCGGGTTCCAATCCCAGGGGAAGACAGCTGCAAGCTTCCCACTGCAATATCAAATGTATAGGGTATTATTTATTTCAACGTACAGGTAGTCCTCCACTTAACGACTTTTGTTTAGCAACAGCTGAAACTTATAACAGCGCTGAAAAAAGTGACTTTGGACAAGGCCTCTAGAACCACTGCAGCATCCCCACTGTCCAATTTGGACACTTGGCAACTGGCATGTACTTATAACGATTGCAGAATCCCGGGGTCTCATGACCACCACTTGTGACTTTTCTAGCTAGCTTCTGACAAGCAAAGTCAATGGGGGCAGTTGGATTCGCTTAATGACAAAAATAGCAGAAAGTCATAAATCAGAGGAGACTCACTTAACAACTGCCTTATTTAGCAACTGAAATGTTGGTCTCCATTGGGATCGTAAGTCAAGGACTACCTATACTCGTTTTTAGAAGCAGTTGGACATAATAAGGAGCAAACCTATTAACAGCACCCGTACCTCTCGCTAGCATTTAGCAAGCCTCTTAACCAATAAAACATACCAAATTTCATAGAGTTTCACTCTTGCTAAACTTGTTGCCTTGATGACTCTTCAGCAATGCCCTTTTTTGAGCTTGTCTGCATATTTTCGGGCAACTACTTACCACTAGAGAACTTCAAAGGGGATTGGATGGAGAGCCAAGGACTGGCTGTGGGTCCTTCCTCCTCCTCTTCTTCACAAGAGGAGTGATAGTGCACGAGCTCTTGTCTGAAAACAGTTGAGATGGTTATCAAGACAAGGAAGAGAGATAAGAAAAGGAATTTTGTCTGTTTTAGGGGGACAAGATATCATTAATCTTTTAATGTCCGCTTTTGGTTTGCAGAGGTTCCATCCTCAAAGCTGTCTCAATTAACTCACACTTTTTTTCCCTTCCCCAATCTTTAATTCCTATCAAACCATCTACCGTATTACAAAATAAACTTCTTCTGTTTTGAATGCAGGCAGGTAAAGAGGTCTAACTTGTATTAATCATATCTGACAACACTTATTATTAGATAATATTAACACAGTAACAAATGTAAGTGAGCAACTGAAGTCTTAAAGACCCTCGTTTCATCTGCTTTAGAATGGAGATGGCACGCTTGATTTCAAAAAGTCCTTGTCTGTTTTAAAAACATTTGTAAAATGGTCTAATACAAACCCATGAGCCATTTAGGAATTCAGTTTTACAAAATATAAAAATACCACACTCAATTCCTACCTCACTAATGTGTGTCCAGGCCCCCCACTGTATTGATGCAGTTTATTGTAAGCCATTTGTGCTTTGTACACAGAAAATGTATTCTCATCCTTATATTCCTTGTCACCATCAAAATTCCAGCCTGTCAGTAACAGTTACAAGGAGAGAGGGAAAAGAATTAAACTCTTTAGAACCCAATTTATATTCTGTGGGCTATAAAAATAAGTTTTATTGCAAGAAAAATTGGAATAGAATAATATTTTCCCCATGTTAAGAACATCTTTCTGAAAATTGATGAAAAACCAGACCTTAATCAGGAAGGAAGGAAGGAAGGAAGGAAGGAAGGAAGGAAGGGATACTCATGTATACGTGCATGAGTTAAAATTTAATATAGATGAAACAACAACTCTGGAAAATAAAATATATAATGTGTTCAGGGTGGAATGTTTTTAACAGACTAGTGGATTTACCAGACGCTAGCAAGGAAGTTGCTAAACTAATGCATGCCACGAGTTTAATGAGAAAATCTATTTAAAACAACCAAAAATATGTGCATCTTAATGTCAAGTTCTATCTAAAAATATTTCAGTGGGTGAGGAAGCCTCCCTGTTAAAATGACTTATTGGAAACTAGCAGAATATTTTTTTCCTGCCCAGTTCATAATTATTTGGAATTCACTACCGTGCCACATAGACAATAGTGGCTTATATACACATATGGAAAGGATATACTCCTTGTCTGTTAGCAATTAGAGTGAAGCAACTTGTTTAGAGAGACATGTCAGTGTAAAGTACTGAAGGCCAGAACCTGGGCTGAACGTCAGGATTGGAAACCTCCAATGGCTGCTGATTAGTTATTGTGGGAAACAGGATGCCAGACTAAGCAAATTGTTGGTCTTGTAAAACAGAATTCCTTATGTTCAAACACCAGCGCAACCTAATAAATCATTTTTTTCCTTTGATGGAAATAAGTCCTCATTAACCTCTCTCAGATTTCAAGTTACGTTGTCTGTAACAAAGGAGCAATTTATAATCCACTGAATTTTTTTTTAACAAAACAACAAAGAAATTGCACCTGCGTGATCAAACGGGACTCCAATTTTGGTGAGATCCAGAAGATTAGCGTTTGCAGTCTGGTTAGGCTCTGGTAATGGAACTTTAAAATTGGGAAAGGAAGTGGATGGCTTCTGGAAGGATGAAAGTATAGAAGACACATCTCCCACATCAGGCAGACTCTCTTCCTCCAGGTGTGGCACAGCATGGGCAGAGTCCTTTCCAGCCTCCAGAGCAAGGGACTTGCACACTTTCCTGTTCACACCACCACACCGATCTACGAACCAAGTGATACAAGCATGTTTGAAGAGCTAAATCTCAGGTTTAACAGTACCTATTTCATTGCAGCAGGAGCCTTAAGATGCTTCTCCTGTAAGAAAATTCTGCACTGAATTTATCCAGCTGCAGTGCCAATTTCCTCCCACATTTTTTAATTCCCTTTTTAATTCTCCCCAGGAGGGCAAAACTTCACCTATCTAGTTTCTTTCTTGGCTGAGCTATGCAACTATTGTCCAGTACCTCCTGTCCATCAAAAGCAACAAGCATATGGCGTAACATCCACTGCTTGCCTGTCTGGCATCAATCCAAGACTGAAGTAGAGTAGGGGTCTCCAACCTTACCAACTTTAAGATATGGCTGGATGAGGAATTCTGGGAGTTGGAAGTCCACAAGTCTTAAAGTTGCTAAGGGTAAGAGACCCCTGAAACAGAGAACAAGGAAATATTAAAAACTACTGAAGCCACGAATGGATGTGAGGGCATGAGCTGTAATGAAGGTGCTGCAATGGCTGATCATGCAGAGGAAGGAGGAAAAACCTACAGAAGCATCAAGTGGTGTAACCCCAAGCTTGTGGAATGCTTTCCAGACCTGATTTGCGCATCCGTCTCCTCTTTCTGGGTTTCTTGTAGACAGCCAGGGGCTTGGGATTTTTTGCCCGTGGTGTGACTTCTCTGCGCTCTCTCTTCAGGGCAGGTATCGCCACCGGCTGAGATCCAGCTGCTTTTATGAAAGAAAAATTATGGACCATAATTTTTGCTCAGGTATATCCTCTGTATTGTCTGACCATGGGTGTTCTCTGCCTCTATTCTGGCATTTCCCTACCTTTTTGTTCCTCACCACGACCTTGGAGCAGTGACCTGGCTCTATCGATGCTGGTCTGCAGATGTTCTATGTAGCGAAGGACTCGGAGCAGGATTTCTTTCTGGTTGAATAATAAAAATGCAAAATTAAAGAGCAGAAACAGGAAAAGAAACATCTGCCATTTGTATTCAGTTTGAAATAAACACACACGTTAAATCTGTTGTGCAACCGGGCCCAATTTCAATGTCTGTGTAGATCCAAAATTATAGCACATTCCTTGAGCATTTATGATAAATTCTATTATTATAATACCTTGGTCAACCTCTTACAACTGGTCCTTAGTGGTATGGGTAACATCTGAGCCAATTCTTTAAGTGTGTTGGTGTAGTTATTGCATTTTCTTCTGTTAAAAAGAGAGAAGGAAGGTTAGATATTTCTTACAAATACATACAGATTCCCCCTCTCTATACATAGGTACCTGCTATTTTTATTCTCCAGAAGGAATAGTCTCATTGTCCAAATACAGAATTTAGCATCCTAATTAACCTAGCACCATCCTTTAGATTAGGTTTTTAAATTGTCAAATATTAATATTTAATACATTAATATCACTGAAATAAATTTTAGTATCTTCCATCTCATTCTATTCAATGTGACAGTCTCAGATAGATGCGTATATGTACTATATGTCATATATAAGTTAGGGCTATATTAAAACAATCTTTGTTTAACCAGATAGTAGTGGTTATTATCATTGCCATATCATTATCATTGAAGATGTTGGATTTTAGGTTGTTCATTTTCTTTCCTTACCTGTCATCACAATTTTGTTTGAAATTGTTGCTCTTTGCTTGCATTTCCTCAGAGCAAACCCACCCTATTTGGTCCCACATCTGTAACGAGAGAAGTGAACAGAAAATTTATTGATCCTGGATCATAAATCACAACAAAAAATGTTGGGGAGAGTGAAAGGAGTGTGAGGAAACCTTTTACGACAATGTTTGGCAACCTTAAGATGTGTGGATTTCAACTCCCAGAATTCCCCAGCCAGCATACTTGCTAAGATTGAAAAACAGTGCTATAGTAGAAAGACCAAATTGCATATACAATGGGGTAAAGAGATTAGGAGGCAAGAGTTCCTCACGGGGAGAATCCTAAAACACAGAAAACGTGCCCTGAATGGTATGCTGCATTGTGGAATTAAATGGAAAATAATGCTCTATTTTCTTCCATAGGCTAAATGGAAACCAGGCCTACAGAACTCATATGCTAAATGCCTACTTGGAGCAAGGGCCTCAACTCAAGACTTAGACCATCAGCTGTCAAATTCATTCCAGACACCAATAAGAGTTGCACTTCAAAGAGAAGATCAAAAGTGGTGCAGATTTGTTCCAAAAACAGGATTTGGTCAAAGCATCAGAGACAGCAACATTTAAGAAAGATGAAAATAGCTATTGCAATTGTTCTGTTGGAAACAGACATTGTCATTTCTTTTGGGAGGAATAAAATGCCATCATGATAAGAGAGGTAACTAGGAATCCTGATCTGACTGGGAAGAACAATGGAAAAGAAAACCAGCTATATAAATGTTTTTAAAAAATAATGAAAATCAATCAGTCAACGGGGTGGGTGGGGGGCACCAGTATGGTAAAAGAACAGTGAATTCTGTGATTCAAACTAGCAGTGAAGCTTCTTGAAAGAGATTCTCCAGAAATGACAGAAAAGTGAGGATTTAAATTGCGATATATATTAAGGAGAGAGCGTAAGAGGGCATGGGGGAATAGATCTGTTTGGGGAGGTACTCTATAATAATCAAATGGTGGTCATGAGCCCATCCAAAAATTAAATTTTGGTTAACTTTCTTGGATGCTATAAACTGAAGGCCAGAAAGGAAATAACATCCAATTGTGGCTACCTATAAAAATCCTGTTTTTTGGAGAGAGAATGAACCCAGGTTTTTCCTGGAAGTCCTGAGGGAACAGGAATATTTGGGAAGTGGGTGGCATAAAGGTAGAATTTTGTTTCCCAAAAGAGAAAAGAAAGGAAGTTTGAATATTAAAATACAGCCCAGATTTTGAAAATTAGCTATTTTCATCAGATTTTGCTGGAAGACTTCCTTCCCCTGGGGTGGCCAAAAGATGGTGAGGATGGCAAATGGATGCCAGTATCAGATGCAGGAAAGGGGAAAAAGGGGGAAAATTGAAGGAAAGAACTGAAAGAAAGGAGAAGGGAAAGAAGGGGAAGAGGAAAAAGCGAAGGATGCTGATGATGCTGGAGGATGCTGGAGGCGGAATATAGCTAATTTCTCTCTAGGGAGGCATCGAGAGTCTGAGGAACAGATCCAGCCAAGGGATCTCCTTTGCACCCCACTTTAAGCCTGCCCTCATCTCTTTTGACCAATTTGCTCAAAACTGAACCCCAACCTGCCCTTGTGACTTATAAACCACGATGGGCAGTGCCATGCACCCCCAGACCATCATGGCTTATCTAAAAAAAAAAAAGCCTAGTTTGGCTGCTCAGGGCTGCAAACCAGCCAGCCAGGCTTAGCCTGAGTTAGAAAAGGAGAATCCAGGAA